TCTGGGTTTTAAAAGCGGCCGAGCCCTTTGGGCTGGTTCGTGCCCCGGCAGCGCAGGCTGCTCGCACCTCGCTCACTCCTGCGAGCTTGGCAGCGGCTGTGTAGCCAGAACCATTTGCAAATACGGGATTATCTGCACAGAACAATTTCCAGAGCAGGGTGCTCCTGATTGTTCCTAACCTCACACTTCCTATCTCCGTGTCTTTCCGCAGAGGCTCTGCTCATCTGATATTAGAATTTATCGGCACGGGCTCGAGGCTGTGTGGCTTTTGGCTACCTGAAATACAGCAAGCTGCAATGTGCTGGAAGCGTCCCTGCACAGCTCCGGCGGGTTTTGGGCCGACACGCTGCCCGCTCCGGGGCATTCTGGGCGTTGTGTGGACCCTACCGAGCCCCTCGGCCTGCTGGGGAGAGCAGGCGCGAGGGATGCTGCGGTCCTGCTGCCACCAAGCACGCGACGAGGACGTTGGCTTTGCAGTGGCTGCCGAAGGGCTCTGTGTCTGCGTGCTCAGGACACGCTCCGAGCCCGATCGCGAAGGGCAGCCTAATCCCCTGCCCCTCGCGAAGCCACGGGCAGCATCGCACGGCTCTTCGCGCTGGGACGGCCAGGGTACTGCTGAAGCCAGCCCATCCCCTGGGGGGTCACGCTGCGTGGGCCTTGCCAAGGGCTTTTCAAGGGGAAAAGAAAAAAGAAAAGAAAAAAAAAGGAAAAAAAAGTCTTTTACGGAATAAAATTGTGGCAGCAGTAGAACTGATGAGGTTTTTATATTTTGGTTTTTTAGCAGCCATGACAGCGTGCCAGGCTGACTCTGGCAACACAGCTGTCCGGGGCAGCAGCAAAAAATCTCCCCACTCCCTCAGCCAAACAGTGACCCCAGCACTGTGCTCGGTCCCCCCTCGGGGAACTGGGCCTGCTGACCTGACCTTCAGGTGGTGTCACCCGTACCACGTTCTTGGAGACAGGAGAGAAAGGGGCTGTCCGTGCCCCCGCTCCCACAGCCGCTGGCACCCGCACGCAGCCTGCACAGAGAGGCAAAACCAGCGGGGCCAGATGGTGACAGAGGAGAATTTTACAGGCTTGTAGCTCCATCCCTCCAGCTCAGTGGGTTTGTCAGAAATGGTTAATCATCCCCCGAAAGG